TTGGAGAACGAAAAGGACAAAAATGTTGCATATCCGTCATAAGTTTACCGGTCGTAACAAAACACGATGAAGTCGTGGCTTGCCGGTTCGTTGTTCCCCGAGACGGCTTGTGGGAGGAGTGTTCCTTATAGGTCTTGCATTGGATGGTCTGTCCGCTCTCTCTCTCTCTCTCCCACGTAAATGGGCAGCATAGCAACGAAGGAGAGAGTGCGCTAGATGCTTCACAAGTCTACTATCTTTTAAAATAATTCGCACACAATTTATCGTCCCTACGCCACCATGCTGTGGATCAATCGGCGGACCTCGTCTGATATAAAGGCCGAACTGTCAGATTGCACGGTGGACTCTTCCACCGGCATTCCCTTCTCTGGTATAACAAGGGAAGGTTTGAAGATTGCCGCCTTTTTACTTTTCTTGGAAATTAATACGCGAGCTTTAAGTAAATCCCTAAAAACATTGCCTTTTAGCCTAGGTCTGATATTTATCTTTGGGTTGAAATCCATCAATTAGTCGGGAATTTCCACAAACGGACAGCAGGGAATCAGTAGCCTACAAATAATGAACGAGTTACTATGCTGACAGGACAATCGTTTGCTACAAGCCCCAAAAGTGGGGGCTTCGTGGGCCTTATGACGCAGTATGACACAATTGTAAGTGGTTCGCCAGCGTTCACGTGTGCTCTCTGGTATATGCATTGTAGGTTTCATACTGCCAGTTTTACCATCGTCAGAAACTAATGCGCAAACTTGGAGTAAATCCTTCGAAAAAGTTTTTAAAGCCAGGCTCGAAGGTTAGTACGAATACCTGAACAAAGGTCAATATTAAGACTAGTTTCTATACCAGAAGAAAGCACGGGAAACGTTGGGGGAACTCACCATTGAACCGAACCCTCAAAGTTGTGTCATGCAAGGGCACATGACCGCAGCTGAAAGTGCATTGTAAGAATTCTAGGTCAGATTATTCGTTCCTAGTAAAAGACAGTGATTTTGGAAAGTTATCATCCACCAGTGGCATCACATTTTGTCTCATAGGTTACACCCTCTCGAAGCATTTTCAACAGACGTTCGCACTCAGTGCCTTGTCTGTCCGTATCTCTGTCAATCGATGTGACTGTAACCGAGAGTTTGGCTTACTGCAAAAACCCTGCTTCTTCGCATATCTTCGACGCCCTCTCAATAACTTCGAGTTAGCCGCCACAGTTGTAGACCAGCTTCTTGGAAGCTAACCCAACAGACGTACGCGCTAGTTGTATCCCGTAATATGCCAGCACCCTGATAGCGCCTTGCTTCGTTTCTTGGGGGGCACTGGCAGTTGTTTACTTTCCCTTGTTGGAAAATAATTGTTGAGGTGATGGAACATTAGCACAGTATGTTTTTTCGAGTTGGGGGTCAACTTTCTAGCAACAGTCTGCAGTATTCATTTAGCCCAATTGTGAAAACTCTGCGTCCAATCCTCTCACCTACCAGTCTGCAATATGTTACCTGTGACTCAAAAGTGCCGACCAAAATTCCCAACTAATAATGCACAACTTTAAGGGGAATGGAAACACGCAAAATATCTAAGCAACCCTTTACTGCTCTTTTGGGTTTTTTTTATTTAAACAGCTGCAAAAACAACAATTCCAGTCGGCCTTGGACTTCTTGGAAACGAACTTTGCTGCTTGGTTGTCGGCTGTGAAGGGTAAGTGATAAAAACTTAAGTGCGCCCGCCTTCTGCTTTTTTGAGTCCTTCGTCAAAATGGGTTTTCAGCGTACCGCATGATATGTCACAGCATTTTTCGGCTTGGTTTTACCTCAGCAATTTTTAGTTGGCGTCCTACTTATTCGCATCCACTCTCTTTTTTAACCCAACTACCCCGCCCACCACCACCAGTGTAATGTAATGGAGATTTAGACGCATTCAAATAACCTGTATGTACCTGGAAGTTCGTTACTTATGTCAGTCCTTAAGTTTTGAACTTCGAGGTCTCGAATAGGCGAGTAGGGAAGAAAATTCACGAATTAGCCTGTCTAAAAGTTCAGCAGAAACTGACGAGACCTCGTTGCTATTAGCTTAATATTGGCCCACTAAGGACTTGGTGGTGTACCCTGATTCTTTAAAATGAAGAAGAGGACTTTCAGAACGATGTAAAAACACATCACGTAATTATTTGCCATACTGATGGCACAGGCACTAATTAAAGGCCCAAACACACGTGTTTCGCCGATCCTAACCTAAACCTTAACCCCAATTCCAAAGTAAAATTGCAAGCCTAACCCTAACTAAGTCCATTCCATCAACACTAACCCTAACTCCATAAGCTAATTCCTAACCTTTACGTTGGCCCTAAAATCCTATTCTAAACATAAACTGTACCCTAAACTTTGCGAACTAAACTGATGAAAATATACATATATAATACCTGCCTAATACAAACAGGTCGCTGCCTTACAGTAATAAAATTATTGGTGCGATCTAACGTATTACTTAGTGGTATGCCCTTCTGAAAAGACAGCAAATTAACATTTTTCCACAAATGCCTTCAACAAATCAAAGTCTCAATAGAGCATTTGGGAAGACAGTAACGATTGACAAAGGTAATATTTAAGGATTTCTCACATTGTTCTTTTGTGTGACAGCCATTTAATATTCAGTGTAGGAGTATAGGACCTCACTTTAATTGAACAGAATTTCTACTCTACCGTCCCAATCACATCGGGCATAAGTTACATCAGTACAAGAGCAGCAGAATGGAGGTGGTGACAATGCTTTGGCAGCAATATCAAAATTCAGTCGCGTCCCCTTAAAGAACAGAAGAATCTTGCTTTTATCAGCTGTATCCACCCAAACTACGAGGCAAAAAAGAGAATGCCCGTTTCCGTCTTTCAACGGAAAGAGATCAATTAACGGGCGTCTACGTGATCGCATTTTCTTGGTTCTAGCCTGTGAGCTCAGC